CACTCCTGCACCCCCTCCCACCCACACTGCCCCCCCACACGCACTCAGACTCCCTGCCCCATGCCTGCTTCCCAGCAGCCCCTTCCCACACACTGAACCTCTCATTTTTGGCCCCACCCCAGAACCTAGGGAGGCCCACAATCTATTAGGCCAGGCCCCCCAAAGCTCTGGGGCGGAGTGTCTTTCTGCTTCTGAGTCGGGGGTCACCTCAGTGAGCTGTTTTGTTTTGACTTTGCTTCCCATTTTTGCGTGGTCCCCCACCTGATTTTTCTGAGGGCCAGCAGCCCCCCAACCCAGAAAAGATTCCCCGCCCCTGCTTTGGAAGACCCTCAGAGTGACCTTCCTGGGATGTTGTATCGATTCTCTCCACTGCTTCACGCGGTTCCCTGTTCTGCCTGGGGAAATGACTGTTTCTGTGAGTGTGGCGTTCAAATCTCTCCCCCCGCTGCCAGGATGAATCTCGCCTTGCTGGAGTTCTTTGTAGAGCATGCTACGGGAGCGTGGCTTCGCGTTTCTCCTAGGAATCTCGTAAAGATAGTGCCACTGACGGGGCGACTAAGCCGGCCTTGTAAAACGATGGCCCGCAACCACGGCCGCGAAAGTCCAGAGAAATATAAACCCCCGTTCGTTCCCAAAGTGGCCGGGTTAGATTTTCCCGCCGGAGAACGAGTTGGAAGCGGTCATTTGTCTCGAAGGCTTTTTGCGAAAGTTTCCTCTTGGTTCCAGAAGCACCGGTGGGAAGTGAAAAATGCGCCTTTTGCCCTGTTTAGGCAAGAGACTTACCCGCATTGCTTCAGCTTCTGCAAACCCGCGGCAGCTGCCCTTGTGACTTTCTCAAGGCCCAGTCACCGAACCTTTGATTAGCAAGCTGCTGGAAGCGGCTGCAGTTGCTCTTTCTGGCTCCAACTAGAGGGAAGCAGCAAACACTGATTCCCCACTCAGGTAAGAGCCTCTGGCACCCAGGAGTCCTCCCTCCTCCTGGCTCCAGGTGAGCCACAGCTGGGCTGCGGCATTCAGATGCCGGGCTGCTTAAATAAGGAAACCAACAGGAGAAATCTCATTCCTGTGCGGCCAAGAGAAATTCTTCCCGACTTTCCATCCGCACGGACCTCAGCCGGGATTCCTGGTGCAGAGGAACTAGACATTAAGGTGGGTGGGGGGCGGGTTTTGCAAGGAGCAGGAAAGGGCTTGAATCTACATCTGGCAAGGGAAATCTGCGTCTGGGTGTTGGAGTCAATAAACCTCAGAGCGAGCGTCTCTGGAATTCTTCCTTTTGGCCGAGGAGAACTAGCATGGGGAGGGGCGCTTCCTCCCACAGAACCTGGAGGAGACGGGAGCAGGGAATCTTCTAAGGGCTCTCCTCCCAGCCAAGAGTCAGAAACATGAACCGAGCCAACAGCTTTCATGCCAACAAAGCAAGCTGACTGCCAGGGCCCTGCCCATCGCTTGGTGAGAACTGGCTTGGCAAAATCTTCAACTTTCCTACAGGCTGTGCAAAGACACAGGGAAGCCAGAACCTGCTTGGAACCAGAAGGAAAACCCTTGTTCTGTATCCAAAGTCTAAAGGAGCCTTATTTTGCTTTGTAGTTTGCTTAGGTTCTTGGAGAGGCTGCACTTTAAAAGGCTTAGTAAATCGAGGCAGAGCCAAATAGGTTCCCAGTTTGAACATCGTTCTGGGATGTATCAGCAGGAGCGTGGAGAGACACGAGAAGTAATTCTTCCATCCGTTCTGCGCCGATAAGGCCTCAGCTGGAGTTCTGTGGTCAGTTGTGGGTACTGCATTTTGGGAAAGATGTGGGCAAACAGGAGAAAGTTCGGAGGAGAGCAGTAAAAATGAGGAAAGGTCTCGGAAACCGAACCTGTGAGGGAAGACTGAAAAAACGGGGCTTGTTAAGTCTGGGGAGGAGAAGGGATGCGGGGGAAAGTACATAAACGGCTGTTAGAGAGAGGAGAGAGAAAGTTGCTCTTATCCACTGAGGACTGGACAAGAAGCAACGGGCTTAAATAGCAGCGAGGGAGGTTTAGGTTGGATGTTAGGAAAAGCTTCCTAATTACCAGGGTGGTGAAGCACTGGAATAAATTACCTAGGGAGGTTGTGGAACCTCCATCTCCGGAGATATTTAAGAGCAGGTTGGACAGACACCTGTCAGGGAAAGTCTAGAGCAGTGTTTCTCAACCTTTTTTTTTAAATAAAGTACCCCTTTAAAAACAAGCTATAAGTGCCCTCAGTACCTACAGTTTTCAGACACACTTTTTTTTTTCTACCATTGCAACTCATTTGTTGAAACAACTTAATCGTAGCCAGGCGGGTGATTAAATTTTTGGGTGTAAAAAGTACAAAAATAATAAAGCGCTGTAACATGTAAAACAAAAATTCAGTTTTCAGAATTCTTAGCCCTGCCTCAGTAGGGAACCTGCTCCGCGTGACCTGCTAGGGTCCCGTCCTACGATTCTATGGACTTCCTGGTGGGGGGAGTGTCAAGTGCAGTAGCATCCCCTGGTCTAGGTTCCCTTCTTCCTTTAAATGTTGTAGCTGGTCAAGCTAGCGCAGTATTGGGCTGACACAGGAGGGCCCAGCCCCCTTCTGCAGACACGCTGCCCGCCGCCCGTTTCTGCATGGATCCGGATTCGTTGATTAGACGTGTCCTGTGCAGACCAGCACCAGGCCAGAGATGTAGCGAGTACAAAGGGGAGTAAAGACGCAAACCAAACCTCCTGGTCGTCGTTTGCAACTTCCAATACAGATCTGACGTCTGGGCAGCCTCTCCTGCTGCCTTCCTCCTTGACGCCGCCGGCCTTCGCCTTCTGATCTCTGCCCTGTGTGCGCTGTCGGGTCTGAACCTGATGGTCAAACCCCTTCGTACCAGGCCAGCGCCAGGAGACGCTCCCGGTCAGGATGGGAAAATACCAGGGATGGGCGAGACGGGAGCAGCCAGTGGGAAGCTGGCTGGCGTCCCATGTACACCAAGGCGATCTCGCTGGCGTCCCATGTACACCAAGGCGTGGTCTTGCGGTGGTCAGCGCCCGGGAAGGAACACAGGCGGCTGGACAGGCAGGGACCGTGTCCGAGACTCGGGTCAGAAGGGACCCAGCTGGTTGGCTCGCCTGGCGTGTGGGCACCGTAGGCCAAGAATGGGCCCCAGACCCCGAGTGGGGTCCCTGACCGCAATGCTCGTCGCTGCTACCTCCCCGCCAGCCTGCGCGGAGCGTGGCGGGGGGCAGTTTCCTGCCTGTTTTGGTTTCGT